TGGCAGTCTTGGTGGCAAAGCTCTGGTGGAAACCTGCTCTGATTGGGCAGGCACTCTTGGCCTGCGGTATTCTTCTGGAAAAGTGCCAGGGTGAATAGTAACACGCAAAATGGAACGTATCCCCCTCGGCCTGTTCTCCTAGGACAGCCCCTGGGACATAGTGGGTGTCCAAAAACGCCCCCTGCATTGAATTGAAAAGTTCTCGTGACTTCCGTGACCAAGTGCAGGCTGACCTCTCTTCCTGCTGTGGACAGGGCACCACGAGCTGCCACCGTCCCTGGCCCACGGCCACTGTCCTTATTAGCATGGCTTAGTGTCCCTGCTTGGGCGTGCCAGGAAGAGCAGAGGACCAATCCTTGTTTATTAAATATAAGAGAAAGGGTCATTTTGAAGTTGTCCCACTGACCCCTGGCAGTTTAAGGTCCCTCCAGTTCGCACTGACCTAGCAGTGTGCTGGCAGGTCTGTAATTTAACTCAGGTAGCCGAGCATCAGCCGCCCGGTGCTTTTCTTTGGAAGGTGTTCTAGATATGTGACGATGTATTTCTTCTTTGCTTTTTCACCCCCTCTTCATTGCTGCAAGTAGCTTGCTTGGCTCAGGAGCAACAGAAGAGAATAAAGAAAATGACCTCAGACCTCCGTTACCTCAGTCTTACGCAGCAACTGTAGCCAGACCAAGCGCCTCTTCGGCCTCCACAGTGCCAGGTGAGTGGACGTGAGGGCTGACGGGGGAGCATCCCCCAGCAGTTACCATCTGGGGTGGGGTGCTCTCCTTGGATCTGTTCTTTCCTCACAGGTGAGGCCAGGGTAATCGCTTTCAACTTGGGCCCTTAACCCTGGCAGACGTAGCACAAGACGATCATTTTCCTAATTAGTGGTGCTACCCCTTGCCTCTTGAGGAATTCCAAAAAGGTGGAAAATTTCCGGCATCTGGGTGGAAGGGTGAGTGGGACCAGCCACCTGTCTGGCGAGGATTTTGACTGGCCGTGAGCGCAGTCTCTCCAGTTGGAAGGCAGAGACGCCGCACAGTTTTCTGTGCCTCTCCCTCCTCCGCGGTCCCGCGCCCGGGTCGGTCATGGCGTAAGAACAGACCTTGTTGCTTGTTTCATCTCTCGTTCTTGGTTTCCAGGTTATTCTGAGGACGGCGGGGCGCTGCGAGGAGAGGTTATTCCTGAGCATGAGTTTGCGACGGGACCAGTGTGTCTTGATGATGAGAATGAATTTCCCCCTGTGAGCATTAGGAATCCGTAAAAGAGTGGCTCAGTCTGTGTGCTTAGACGGAAACCTTCGCCTCCTACAAGAGGCGAAGTCACTTTTTTCCCTGTTTTCTAGTCTGTAACAACTAATCCTCTTCTCTAACATTCCGAAAGCCATGGGGCGTTACCGTACCGTGCGCTGCACATCCTACAGGCTAGGCTTTAGGTGTCCAGCTCAACCCTGGCAGCATTAGAGTAACCGAATACTAATCCAGGGAGTCTTGGTGGCCTCACTTCATTCAGAGGCCTGGAATCCTTTACTTTGCTTCTGTAGCTCTGACTCTGCTGCTCGTAAGGTAGGAGCCTATGCCTGTGTCAAACTCTCATTTTCCTAAGCTTTCCATGGATGCTTTCGCAGAGCGCTGCCTGCCTTGTGCTGGAGGGGTTGACTTAACAGGGCTGGGCTGCTGCGCGGCGCAGGCGAGCTCGACCCGAGCCTCCCCCTCAGCTGCAGGGACTCGTTAACAGACAGCCACGCGGAGCACGCGAGCCGCTGTGCTTGAGCTCCCCAGCATCCTGCTCCAGCTGGCGTGGCAGTCGGAGCCTTGGCTTCCTCCAGCATCTGCACCTGGAGAGAAGACTCCCTCCCTGGGGGGCTGCCTGGGCCTCCTTAGCTTCTGGTTCTCCAAGCTTCCATTTGGAGCAATGTATCGACCCCTGCTGTGAGCATCAGTCAGAAAGTATCCCACATAGTTGACCTGAAGTCATATAGAGATGGAAGCAGTGTTTAGGCCAAGACGTGGAGAGTCAACTCCTCGAGCCAGAGAGGAATGGCCATCTGGGTACTGAAGCAATGCCCATTAGGCCCTGGTGTGGAATGTTTCCTCCTGGTGCTTATTTTGTGTCAGTTGAGATTCCATTTGTAAAAGGATGGAGCGCGGGTCTGGCTTCTTTCCCCCACAGATCCATGGAACAATCTAGTAAGCATATTTGGCTTAAAAAGCAAAGCTGTTGTGGGGCCCTTTGTGCATGGCTCGGGGGCAGTGTTGTGCTTTCCCACGTGGGTTCTGCGGATCACAGCTTGAGATGCGCATTTCTGGCTTTTAATAGGCGGGTTGCCAAAAACATTGCCAACAAGTGAAGTTTATATTTTAGTGGTGAAGAGCAATGGTTCTTAAAAATACTAATTATAACCTTAAAAACATGTGTTGGCTACGGCCTACCTCTAACCCAGTTGTTCTGCCTTTGGGTCCTCGTGGCCCCAACTAGCCATAAAGGGAGTTTTTCTGGCTCCCCGAAAGTTGGTGGTTATTTACCTGAAGTCACATCTTCCCAAAACCAGAGCACTCCAGGTCAGACGTGATAGGGGCAAGTGTGACCCTCCCATTCTGTGAAGGTGTAGAGAGTTCAGACACTCACTAGGTTCCATTTCGATGATTTTGGTAAAAGTCTGTGATGGCTATAAAAGATTATTAGATTATGAATTATAATCAGAGTAATCCTTGCAAACCTCTTATATTTACAGAATTGGGGTAATTTGGATATTGGCATTTAGGAGGTAGTCACTTGCCAAAGAAAACCTATATAAAATAATAGGTACCTTGTGTAGACCATTTGTTTGAGATAAAAAAAAAATGGAGATGCTTAATTTAAGAACTAGTGGGAAAACATGAGACCTCTTTGCCTATACAATTCCAGGAAGCTGGGCACGAGCCAGTCATCCTTTCTCCCTCTTAAGGACCAAATGAGTGAACGCGGGTTTAAATTGTGTCAGGAGTTTTTATTTATACGTAAGAAATGCTTCCTGCCAGTGAGAGTGGTGGCGAGGTCCTTGGAATGGCTGTTAGACCCCAGCGAGTGGTGGGCAGTCGTGTGTAGGGCCGACGCTAGGCATCTTGGTGGCCGCCAAACCCCAGCCCGCCCTTGAGCCCGCAGGCAGACGGTGGGGAGGGCAGTGCTCCCACTGAGACGCTGCCTCGGTGGCAGGCAGGCTTCTCCATCTCACCACGCCAGGACCAGAGCGTGAGTGCTACTGGACGCCCTCTCAACATGGCCCATCCCAGCCATGCGTGTCTTGGCAGAAATGCTCAACCAGGGATGCCAGAACACTTCCTCTCTCTGCTTTTATCCTGAATTGTCATGCCTGTTGCAGATATTTGTCCAGAATTCACATCTTTACTCACATTCCTTAAAAGCTTCTGGGATCACAAAAGGATCTCGGAATCTCAGCTTGGTAAAATCGCTTCTGCTATATCTGTGAACACAGGCTTGCCTGAGTCGCCTGCGTCAAGGGCCGCCTGGGCCTTTGCCTTAAGGAAAAGCATCACTAGCGATGTTTTAAAAATATATACTGACACTTCCCTGTATATGATCACTGTTACCTCCTTGGGATTTACTTTGCTCCAAGAACAAGGACAGAACAGGGAATCGATCATTTCTGGTACCTTAGAAAGCTGCGGAATTCGGGAGGATGAGCAGCTCTTTTTTTCTCAGTGACAAGCCAACCTTTACAAGTCTGTGTATTTCTCAAGACCAGCCTTAACCTTGTGAGCAAGAGTAAGGGGATGGGGACCAAGGGTATATGCTGACTTTTTAGTGGTGAGTTAGCAGTCTGTGTTTACAAGTAAGATGAGCCTTTTTAAAAACATACATATACATATAAATATGTACGCATACACATTTTATATAGTATTTTCTGAAACTGTGCCACGTTCGTCTAACCTAAATAAGATGGGTGGATCTTCTTTGGCCATGAGCGAGGGTCAGTGTGAGGTCAGACAGAAAAGCTACGCAGCGCTGACCCTGCGTGGGCGCAGACCTGTTGATGATGCAGCCTGCCTGCCAACCTCTTCCCAGGAAGAGTAAGGCCGTTCTGTTTTGATTTTGGTAGATAATCTTGTGCCGTGGAAGTCAGAAGGGCAAAACGAAGCAGACATGATGAGAAGCACACCTCAGAAATCAGGACATCCCCTATCAGGTGGTTTTGGAGAAAACAAGGAAGGTGGAAGAATGGAGTGCAATTGTGTAAGCAGAAGGGGGGGCAGGAATCCCGGGTGCTGCGCTGCTTAAACCACAGGATGTGGTTAATTCCTCACCACGCCCCCCTCGGCCCTGGTTGCCAGTGGGCACGGGAGACATCGTATACACGTATGCTATTTAAAATATGTTCAAACCATAGTGTGAATGCTAACTAACCATATTGGTATATAACCGGAATTTTACATTGAAAAGGGCATCCTTTTTAAATATATGCTGTGTAAAAATGTACTTTATAGGAAAATCTCTTTGAATTGTATTTGTTGTATATTACATATATATAGAAAGGGACTATTTTAGCCAGGCAAAGTATTTTTTGCAGTGATTGGAATAAATCGTGTATTACTTTTGAGTCCCAATTTGGACACTAATAATAAAATCATGGCAATGCATGTTTGAGGTTTCTAAAATGTATTTCTTTGAGGTTTCAGGGGGCAAGAAGAACTCAAAACTTTTAAAATACAGTCGTACAACCCTTAAAAGGAGGGGAAGGGAACAGGGCCATGGGCCATGGGCCATGGACTTCGCCATGGCCTTTTCTGCTCTAGACCTGGAAACAGATGTGACTTTGTCCAGTCTAGATCCATGCACCCAAGTCGTCATTTGCTAGGCATGTAGGCTATCGGGCCCCACTCCAGACCTGCTAAGTCAGAATCTGCATTTTCACAAGATCCCAGGTGATTTGTATGCATATTAAAGATGGAGAAGCTCTGCCCCAGATCCTGGTTGGAATGAGTCTATGCTAAAATGACCAGAGAAACTAGGGACATAAAAAAGGAAACTAAAATGTATTGGGTGTCTGCTCTGTATCAGGTAACATACCAGGCATTTTCATGTATTGCTTTATTTAACCCTCAAAAAATCAATGCAAGTTAGGTTAAATAATTGCCCAAGTTCAAAAGCCGGGGCTTGAACCTGTTCCTGGCTCCAAAGCCCACGTGCTTCCCACGACAGCACGTTCCCTGCCCCAGAGCCAGCTCAGCTCAGCTGTCCTCTCAAGCTGGCATGGAGGAGGGGACAGTATGCAGGCATGGTATGCAAGGCGGGGGCTACAAAACTAAATTCCGAGACTTGTTTTTAAAGCATATGTTTTAAAGAGGGTAAAACTGAAGTCTAGGATTGAACTCGCCCATCTCATTTCCAGATATTCCTCCTTGTGGAAAAACGGGTCTGTTAGGCGGTCTGGCAGCGGCAGGCAATTCGGTAGGGATTACAGCAGGGAGTTACCGAAGGATCCTGAGTGTAATCCGCTCTGGAGATGTTGTCGCTGGCAATGTCTTGAAGGACATCTGCAAGAACCTCTCTGACCTCGGGCAACACGGCCTGGTACTCGGCACCGCCGCTGTCTAGAGGCTCACCTTCTGCACCATCGTCCTTTAGATTGAACATCAGGGGAAGCTCGTGATGCTGCTCAGGCCCGATGCTCCCATCACATGCTTTGGCTCCACCTAGAGAGAGAAGGACAACAAATGCCTCATGAGACCCGGCTTGGGCTCTATATTGTAAAGAGGAGAGCTGCAAGTGAGTGCAATTCCAACATACCACATATTCAGACATCCAAATGCCTGTTCTCCCTGTCAAAGAGGTTACCTTGAGGATCTATTTATTCCTTCCAGTGATGATCCTGTCATAAAAATAATTTGGAACTTCTCCTTGGACTTGCCTTCAGAGCCAGTAGAACACTCATTCAAATATCTTTAATCTCTGCCCTTTAGGAGTAAATTAGATTTTTTTGAAAATTGATTTCTGAAATACCAATGGGTGAACTGGTGGGAAGTCAAGGTGAGTAATTCCACTCTGGGTTGGAGCTGAGAATCTTACACGGATTAGAATCTGGCTATTAAGGCGTCCCAAAGAGAAATGACAAGAGTGTTTGGAGTGATAGCAGCATCCTTGACTCTTAATGATTTCAGACAACTTTTTTTTTGCCTTTTCTATACAAAAAAGTAGTTAAGTATTGAATGAAAATAAATACAATATAATTGAATAAACAAAGGGAGCTAAGGCAAAGAATAGCTCTCAGAAATACGGAATTTCTTGAACATCTACTCCTACTCTGCTTCTCAGCTTATTACAGCCAAACATTAATAAGATAGAAGCTTATCAATTGCTCAGGAGAAATAGAGCTTTTCTGGCACTGAGGTCTGAGAGAAATTCTGCCAGTGGCTCCTCTTACAGGGGACCTATCTGATGGAATGCTCAATGGCATTTGTATGAAAAACGCAACTGTGTGATTAGCATGGCCCAGCTGATGACTTCTTGTCACACCCTTCACTACAAGATGAGAGCATAATGCCAAAATACAATTCAGCAAAAGGAAATAGACACGCGCCAAAGCTATCCTACCTAAGGATTCAGCTTTCTAGCTGAATCTAGCCAGAAATAAAATTTGAAATACTGAGAAAAATGATTAGATCTCATAGCCTTTAGGCAACCCTCTATTAATGGTTTCCTCCTGTGACTGAGATTCAGGGTGTTCAGCAGAGATTTACAGGCACTGTCTTTGCTGGAGTTTGGAGTAGAGTTTGGCTGTTCTCCATTGTCAGTAAA